AGAGTGTGTGTGTTTGTCTGTGTGTAAGGTGTGTGTGTGTGTGTGTGTGTGTGTGTGTGTGTGCGTGTGTCTGTGTGTTTACTCCTCTGAGATAAAGGAACTCGCCTATTGAAAACTACAAAGGACAAGATCCTCTACAACAAGCAGTTATTGCGAAATGCTGAGAAACGGAAGAGTGTCAGAGCAACAGTCCATCAGTCTTCATCAGCATTTCATGTTCACTCACAGGGGAAGTGACCCAAATCTAGCTGCCACATCTTTCCTTAAACATATGTCAACAGAATTCCTAAAAGAGTGGGTGTTAAACTGAAGATTCACATCTTTTACTCGTGCTTCGTCATAAACTGACAAAATTCTTTATTATTAACTCAAATATTTAATCGGCTCCAAATGAAAAGTAAAATGAAAGTGACGAGCATGTGCATCTGCTGTGAAACAACTCATCCCTCTCATACTTTCTGTCTGAAATACAGCATGTTGCCTCATTAGGGTCACTTCCTGTTATGGCGCTTTTCCACTGCGTGGTACGACTCGGCTCGGTACGGCTCGGTACGGCTCAGTACGGTACGGCACGGCTCGGTTCGGCTCGGTTTGCGTTTCCACTGCAGTTTAGTATCGCTTTAGAGTGGGCGGGATTATTCACGTCATTATAGTTGCGCCGCCTCTACTGCCGCGACTCCTAAAAAACTTTTTAATTCCGCGTCGCCCCATCCAGCTCTCACTGGATCCGCTCCTCTGCTATCAACGAGAGGAACGTCTGTACTTCCTCAACAGGGGGAACAGCCACTTTTTGGTTGTTAAAAAAAGGTGCGCTCGTTCAAAACAGTTGCGTTCGATCCTTCGCTGGCTGTGCTGATTTAAATCTAGCGGTTCTTTTGTGTTTGTGTCGCAAGTTCAGTGACGCAGGTAGTGACGATTCTCTCCGGCCAATCCGCGATCAGCAGAGTTTACACGTCACGTTTTGGTAACAGTACGGTTCGCTTGGAACCCCAACCGAAGTGGTACTAAAAAAAGTACCAGGTACCAGGTACTGTACCCAGTGGAAAACCCCCCAAAAGTGAACCGTACCGAGCCGTACCGTGCCGCACCATGCAGTGGAAAAGCGCCATTAGACACGATAGTTTCAACTCTGCTATGGGAAAAAATAAGATGTTTTACAGAAAGCAAAACGCATTAGAACAGTGAAGTGAATAATGGGCTTCCTACTGAGATTATTTTTTTTTTTTATGAATTAAGCACGCTACACAAATGTTTGAGCAACTTCTGACCATTCACATGGAGACACACCCACCTCTCCCAGTGACTGCAGACATTCGGGTCGTCGAGGTTGAGTGATGATGTCAGAGCAATCAGACAGCACGAGACGGCCAATAGCAGAGGACTCCAGGGTGACATCATTGCAGGAAACACCTTCACACAAACACAAACACACACTCAGCAGTCAGCGCAAACACATGCTGCAATCATGACCTGCATCACACACACGAGAAACACTGCATCAAGCTCAACTTCCAATGTGCTTTGGGTAACTGGATCGAGCACTGATGGCATCCCACCCCAGGACAAAGTCACTGATCTTCTCATCAGCAGCACTAGTTGATCAGTCACAGTCCAGATGGGCAGACTCCTCCTGCACTGCTGTGAGGCCTGAGTTCACGCTGTGCTGGTGCTGATGTGGAGGATGTGGACACTGATCAGACTCTCTAATGCAGGAGCACCTTGTTAATTCTTAACAAAATGTGCATAGTGTCTCATACACAACTCATAATTTTGTTATAAATATAATTTTTGATGTATGTCCACTTAAACTTTGGCAAGCATCATACATCAGAAATTGCAGCCACATTTTCAGCAGAAAGACATGTTGACCCGGAAAGAAGGGAACAATATGAGAGAGAAACAAAACCAAACATTAAAACTGAAGGCAATGTGTTAGTCTTCAACCCTGTCACACCTTGTCACATTAATATTTTTGGAAAAATACAGGGAAGACAATTAAGAATGAAAGCATTTCTTGCTGATTACCATCTGACATGTTAAAGACTAAACAATAAAATTGTAGTTTTAGTTAAACTTTAAAAAAAAAAAAATTTTTTTTTACAAAAATAAAGAGACTATAGACACATTATTTGTGTATTTTTAGCTTCCTTCAGTCCTGTAAAAATGTGAAAATCATGATAAATTTGACATTTGTTATTAAATTGTTATGAGGGACATATGAGTAGGTAGATGTTTGTTTTATAACAAGTTCTGTGTAAAATCCTTTTTAAACCGATCCCATTTTGTCCATTACGGGGTTGAGAAATAGTGTCTAAAGCTGAAAAAATAAATAAATAAATAAAAGCTAATTCCAGCGCCCGCTCCAGGCCGGGAGCTCACAGTGCCCGCTCCAGAGCCCGCTCCAGTCCGGGAGCTCCCAGAGCCCGCTCCCAGAGCCCGCTCCCGAGCCCGCTCCCGAGCCCGCTCCAGAGGAAAGAAGGGAACAATATGAGAGAGAAACAAAACCAAACATTACAACTGAAGGCAATGTGTTAGTCTTCAACCCTGTCACACCTTGTCACATTAATATTTTTGGAAAAATACAGGGAAGACAATTAAGAATGAAAGCATTTCTTGCTGATTACCATCTGACATGTTAAAGACTAAACAATAAAATTGTAGTTTTAGTTAAACTTTAAAAATGTTTATTATTTTATTTTTTTTAAATAAAGAGACTATAGACACATTATTTGTGTATTTTTAGCTTCCTTCAGTCCTGTAAAAATGTGAAAATCATGATAAATTTGACATTTGTTATTAAATTGTTATGAGGGACATATGAGTAGGTAGATGTTTGTTTTATAACAAGTTCTGTGTAAAATCCTTTTTAAACCGATCCCATTTTGTCCATTACGGGGTTGAGAAAAACGTGTCTAAAGCTGAAAAAATAAATAAATAAATAATAATAATAATAAAAGGTCATTAATGCCTGAGGTGGGAAAATATGGAGGTTTGATATGTGCCTAATAATGTGGGGTATTTAGAAAATGAATCATATGTAGTTGAAATAAAATCTATATTCCAAGTTGAAATGTTACCGAATCCCAGGAATGACCCTTCTGTTAAACTATAATTTATTTCTGTGATCAAAAGCTGTATTTTCAGCATCCTTCAGTGTCACATGATCTTGGGGTAATGTCACAGTGTCTGGTTGTGGTGCCCTGGACTGGCCACTTGAGGGCGCTCTCCTGTTTCTATGTTTTATGTGTTAAACTCCATTTCCCATAGTCCTTTGCTTGTTAATTCTGTTCTGATCAGTAGCACCGGTTTATTATTTCCGATCATGATCACCTGTTTATCATTTACTCATTATCCCATCTATATATATACCAAGTGTCACATGATCTTCAGAAATCATTCTAATATGCTGATTTGCTGCTCAAGAAACATTTCTGATTATTAGCAATGCTGAAAACAGTTATGCTGCACAATATTTTACTTCCATCCAAAAGTTTGGGGCAAGAATTTAGTTTAAATAATAACACTTTTATTCATCAAGGATGCATTACATTCATCAAATGTGACAGTAAAGTAATTTATAATGTTACAAAAGACTTCGATTTCAAATAAATGCTGTTCACTGAACTTTCTGTCCATCAAAGGTGTCACAGTGTCTGGTTGTGGTGCCCTGGACTGGCCACTTGAGGGCGCTCTCCTGTTTCTATGTTTTATGTGTTAAACTCCATTTCCCATAGTCCCTTGCTTGTTAATTCTGTTCTGATCATTAGCACCTGTTTATTATTTCCGATCATGATCACCTGTTTATCATTTACTCATTATCCCTTCTATATATACCATGCTCACTCTGTCTGTCATTGCTGCTAGATTATG